GTCTTTCATACAAGAAAAACTCGATGCTTCGACATCTTTTCAATAAATTTTTTTTTACTTCAAGACAAGCATAAGATTTGCATTAGAATTATCATTCTTAGAGAAACATTCTTTGCATATGAATGAGTGCTTAAACATTAAGTAAGCTTGCATGATGAGCATCAAATGAAAACTTGTTTCAGGAATATGTTGGAAAGGAAATCATCTTACAGAATGATCCTATTCTGGGGCAGAATTTTTAGAAGACCAGCATGAGAACACCCCGTTGAGTTCAAGCTCGACCAATTTGAAGCCATCACGTTGACAAACCTATTCAAGTTGCCACCAACTTAGGGAAATTACATCGAGAAATCTATTCAGAATTCATTCAACCCGGGGAAGTCACGTCGAGATTTGACAAATCTCTCCAAGAAAGCTGTAATCAAGAGCAGTTTATTTCGTAACTCAAGAGATTGGGGTAGGCCACCTCATATTGTATTGTGGCACGGATATTACGGTCTTCTATTAAGCACAGATTCTTTCGTAAAACCCAAAGACAAGGGCATTCTTCACCCGTACTCGCAAAGCTGATCAAGCCAATTATGTTGCACGATCCAACTACAATCGAGCTAAAAGCATCACAAAAGCCGTCCTGATCTAGCCAGCATGTGAAGCCGCCTTCATCTGCTACAGACAATTTCAAATTAGATTCCCCATGTGAACTCAGAAAGTCCGGAGTCATCGTTTGACTGGCACACATAAGTGCACGTCCCCCAAAAGCTAAACTAGGGCATCCACAGAGCTAAACCGAGGCATTTGCTAAATTGTCCTATAGACTTTCCCCAATGGAGTAAACTGAGGCATTCACAAGTGTTCATGTCAATCTTTTATCCCCAAATGATTCAACAGGTGATTCCCCAATGTGGCATAAACTTAAGGCATGTGTTCAAGAGATCCACATGGTGTTCAATACCTATTCCTCGGCATATCCAGTCCTACAATCCTCCAGACGGTTCAGGATGTAGGGAAGTTGGGTCTGATTATCTCTTCCCTAACAACACAATTCAGAACTCAGTGGCGTACCTGAAAACCCGCTTTGTCAGCAATTCAATCTTCAGCGGAGTCATCCATAATCTTCGGTATCATGATCCCCCCAGTGAAAATTCTTATAAGCATCCCCAATTATCCTTGGTACCACGAGTTTCTAGCATCGATATGTATTGACACGCCCAGTGATGAGCAACAATTCCCAACGAGCCTTCGCTTATCCTAGTGAAGTCTATTTATGTGCATTGCATATATTTATCACTGCATAACATTGCATCCTTAAAAGCGCGTATTCGATCCATTAGAATGGATCTTTGCGACAAAAGAAATTCAAACATGCATATGAAGCATAAGCCAGATCGGGTACCTTACATAAAAGACATGAATCATTCAAAGACAATAATACATACCCACAAGAGGATATCGCTCCCAAACTTTCATCTAACATCCTTCGTTATATCACGATATCCAGCTAGCGGTGTTAGTACATTATATTTCTAAACACTCGTCCACGTCAACTTTCTAAATACCCGTTAGTGTCAGCTTTTCCAAGTATTTTGCTGTGTCTATTTTTTCTCCAGATTCCAATAAAATCAGTACAGTCAATCGTACCATGTACCTTCACTCATCATGTCGTAACCCATGTTTTCATCTTAGAACCCTGAGGTCACCCGTAGGCCTAGTTCTCCCTATAGATATTGTTTTAGAATTATGAGGTCGCCCTTAGGCCTAGTTCTTTAGCAGATCTCCTATAGGTATCTTCGTAGAATCCTGAGGTCGCCCATAGGCCTAGTTCTCCGATAGATTGCCTTAATGTCTCATCGTAGAATTCTGAGGTCGCCCATAGGACTAGTTCTCCAGTAGATAAGGTTTCATCTTATAACCATGTGGTCTCCCGTAGGCCTATTTCTCCCTATAAATCTTGTTTTAGAATTCAAAGGTCGCCCTTAGGCCTAGTTCTTTAGCGGATCGCCCATCGGTATCTTCGTAGAATCTTAAGGTCGCCCTAGGCCTAGTTCTCTGACAGATCGCCTTGATGTCTCATCATAGAATTCTGAGGTCGCCCATAGGCCTAATTCTCTAGTAGATGAGCTTTCATCTTAGAACCCTGAGGTCGCCCGTAGGCCTAGTTCTTCCTATATATCTTGTTTTAGAATTCTGAGGTCGCCCTTAGGCCTAGTTCTTTAGCATATCACCCATAAATATCTTCATAGAATCCTGAGGTCGTCCTAGGCCAAGTTCTCCGATAGACCGCCTTGATGTCTCATCGTAGCATTCTGAGGTCACCCATAGGCCTAGTTCTCCAGTAGATGAGGTTTCATCTTAGAACCCTGAGGTCTCCCGTAGGCCTAGTTCTCCCTTTAGATCTTGTTTTAGAATTCTGAGGCCGCTCATAGGCCTAGTTCTTTAATAGATCGCCCATAGGTATCTTCGTAGAATCCCGAGGTCGCCCATAGGCTTAGTTCTCCGACAGATCACCTTGATGTCTCATCATAGAATTATGAGGTCGCCCATAGGCCTAGTTCTCCAGTAGATGAGGTTTCATCTTAGAACACCGAGGTCGCCCGTAGGCCTACTTCTCCCTTTAGATCTTGTTTTAGAATTTTGAGGTTGCCCTTAGGCCTAGTTCTTTAACAGATCGCCCATAGGTATCTTCATAGAATCCCGAGGTCGCCCATAGGCCTAGTTCTCCGATAGATCGTATTGATGTCTTATCATAGAATTCTGAGGTCGCCCATAGGCCTAGTTCTCCAGTATGTGAGGTTTCATCTTAGAACCCTGAGGTCACCCATAGACCTAGTTATTCCTATAAATATTGTTTTAGAATTCTAAGGTCTCCCTTAGGCTTATTTTGTTTAGCATATCGCCCATAGGTATCTTCGTAGAATCCCGAGGTCGCCCATAGGTCTAGTTCTCTGACATATCGCCTTGATGTCTCATCGTAGAATTATGAGGCCGCTCATAGGCCTAGTTCTCCAGTAGATGAGGTTTCATCTTAGAACCCTGAGGCGGCTCGTAGGCTTAGTTATCCCTATAAATATTTTTTTAGAATTCTGAGGTCGCCCTTAGGCCTAGTTCTTCAGCAGATCGCCCATAGGTATCTTCGTAGAATCCCGCGGTCGCCCAAAGGCCTAGTTCTCCGATAGATCTCTCTTATGTTTCACCTTAGGATCGTAGGTCGCCCGTCGATCTTATCCTCCATATTTTCATACCAACCTTTGTCTTATAATGGCATCACGCTACATTACGAGTCCAATCTCCATCTCTTCACTAGAAAATAAAAAATTCTTTCCCCAACAAATATCACAAAAGATAAATAAACACTCACGCATTCTTTCAGAACAAATTTTTGGCATTGATGTTTAATCATCTCCTACCTCGAATGTCCGAAAGGCACGCGCCAATCGTACTTTTAGGTTTAAGACGATTAAATAGGGGCAGATGTAATACCTCAAATTTGTCCTACCCTTTCACTTTTATTTGGCTTATACAATTCTCATTTCATCTGCACATATCCCCATTAGGTTATATAATACACCATGTATTCACTAACAACAAGGCTTGGTAATTGAGGTCAATGGTCACGGGATTAGGGTTTCACTTAGGCATCAATGTTTCATCTCTTTGTAACCTTATCTAAACTAAAGACTCAAGGGCTACAAACTAAAGCATTGAAGGTCATCTCCGTGTGCTCATCATCTCCATAGGGATTAGAGTTATTTTCCTGATCATGTGGAATTCAAGAAGGATCCATGAAATTTGTTCATCAGTTCATCTCATCATCAAAGGGATTCCATTAGTGCTTGAGGTACGAGATTATGGAAGAGATCTTAGTGTATTCATGACACCTTAAGGTTTTGTTCGAGAGAGCTCTTCAATATGTAACATAAGGAAGCTATCATTGAATAATATCTTATCCATTGAAATCTAGGTCTTCTATTGGTTTTTCTTCATCAAGGAAAGTTCACTTATTATAGTGAATCATAAAGCATGTGGCTAGGGTTTTCATACAAAAAGATGGAAAGATAGTTTCACTTGGATTTTATTCATAAACAAGGGTTTGTGGACATCAATGTGAAAAATGATTTCATTTGAGTACTTGGGTTTACTTATGGCCTAAGCTTTCCTTGGGGCTTCATTTCAAGTGCTTCGAGATTAAAACCTAGTGTTGTCTTATGAAACGTTAGAGTTTTAGATCAAAGGTCCTAGAGATAGTCAAGCATATTCAATTACTTGAGGATACTTAAGGGAGGTGATTCATTCCATTGTTGAAAAGTCAAGGCATGGAAATACATGATTGTCTATTCAAATGCAATTATAAGAGAATACATTAGGAATTCACGATCAATTTGAAAAGGAATATCACTTTTAATATTTTGAAGAATGTATCATTTGGATTCAAGGGTTTATAAAGTATGCTTCTTTTACAAAATCAAGCACCATGTTCATTATGGCTTCAAGACCTTTTCACTATGAGAAGTTCATCCTATCAACATTCCAATCACATCCCATACTCCAAGATTTCAAAAAATATAATCCTATTTCAAATCCTTACAAGATCAAGCTATTATAAAACTAGCTCATTGCAATTTCTAGTTTAAAGATCTTCGTCATTCATGTCATGGTCGTTACACATTCTACAAAATTACAAAGACAATAGAAAGAAACAATTCAAATTACATGGAAAATCTATCGAAAACACATCCATACTGTTACAAATGTTACAAAAGATTTCAAGTTCTATTCGATTTGAGCCAAAGATCCTAGAATACCTAATATTTACCCAACTTTGTCTTCATCTTTTATCCTCACATCATCATAACTTCATGATATGTCATGATTTAACCAATATTCAATGCTCCATAACCAACCTCCATCTTCAATCTTCTTCACGTTGCTCAAATTCTAAGATCTCCATGTACCAACATTTCATGCCCTTCATGTTTCAAACCTTCTTCATGATCCAAAAGCATTCACCATTTCATAAACTTCATGACTTGTTCATCAACAGCAAACAACCGCCCTGCATCAGTCTCGAAAATGACAAAAAGAAGCAACCCAAAAACCACCTGCATCAGTTCAACCACCAGTCAAAGCTCAGAAAAGTAGAATATTTAGAAATCAGAAAATGAAAATGGAAAATTAATATAACTCTCTAACTGCCAGCTCATATTAAACCAATTTACCAACCTGCATAATTTCCCAACAGTTTTGGCACAACTAACTATAAAAAGAATAACGTATAGTGTAACAGAGTTAACAGAATCCAACTGAACTTCTCAACAGAAATATAACTTAAAAAACCAACAGAAGCCTAACAGAGTCCTAACTTCCTAGCCAAATCCCTCTAACTTCTTAATTGTTTAACAGAAAAAATCAGCGGGCAACATAACTCCTTAACCTCTTCTCTAACAGAATTCCAACTAAGCCTAACAGTTTCCAACCTCTTAACAAAAAAGCCAGTTCACACACTTATACAGAAAAAACAAAAAATAACTAAGAAATTTCAACCATTTTCCAAATAGAACTTTTCAACTATTTTCAACTGATTCCACTATCCTCTAACCACTCTAACTAACTTCCAAAAATATGGATAACAGATTGAAAAAACAGAAAAACAGAGGAGGACTCGGGAGGCATGGAGAACAGAAAAAAGTAACAGAAAAAGGAGAGAAAGGTGATTCACAGTTTATCTACAGAGATTCAAGACCACACAATAAACTCACCAAAAATAAATCTCAATTCTCGCTCTACATTCTCTGAAATATCTCTGAGTCTTCTACACATCTCATCAACTGCATCTTCAATCACCTTCAACATAAATTTCATCTTTAGCAAATCTAATTATCATCATTTGAATACGTAGAAAAAATTTGGAAACGAAAATAGGCGGAAGTAGAAGGTTCTGTGGAAAGAAACGAGAATCGCAAACATACCTGAATATGTTCTCTAGATTTTTGTTGCTCCTCTCCGACATCGAAGAGGTACCAGACACTTTCTTCGGGAGGTAAACCTTCTTCTTTCACTCTTTTTACGTCTTCTGTTTGTGTGGAGAGTAAAGATTGAAATGAAGCGGAACAGATACGTTGGTGCCGAGATACAATTGATGTTGGAGTGAGTGAAATCGACATCAAAGAATAAAATTGCGATACTGTGATGTTGAAACCGTGACGAAGTTCTGCGAAGAAGAAAATGAAATCGTCAAAAAAGAAGAGAGGCGGTGTAAGGAGAAGGAGGATTAAATTCTCCTCTGTTCGCGTTTGAGAAGGATATAAACCATAGTATTCTAACAGTTACCCCCCCCCCCCCCCCAATATAACCCTAATCCATTTTATTTTTTTATTATTTTGTTTAATTTCTTTTTATATTTTTTATTATGTAATAAATGATAGAATGCGGGTTGTTGGGCCTGTAAAAAGTCACACCCCTTAGGCCTGTTCCTCTTTGTTCAAAATCTGAATTGGACCTTGATAAAAAAATCTGAATTGGACCTTGACTAGTGAGATAGGGATTGGACTGAGTTTTCTATCTCCATGAGCCCATGAACCTTTTTTTGGCCTGTCTGAAGTTTATTGTAACTAGCTGTCTACTTGGACTTAGTCTGCTTGGGCCTAGCGCTCATATTCCTATTTGCTGGTTCACACTTCAATTCTGACTTCAGCACCCCCTAAGTTTAGATTTTTTTTCTATATTTCATTTTCTTTGTTGTTTGTTATAAGGAAATTATTGATGAGAAATTGTAATAAAAGCAATAAAGTTTGTTAAAACTTTTAGTTGGTTTTAGGAATATATTTATTTAGTTTTTTTTATGGAATTTTCTTCACACAAAAAACTAATAATAAAAAATACTTTTTGTTTTAGTTTTTTTTCTTCATATTTTCATGCCGTTATGCCTCGTTATTTTTGACGCGTTTGTTCATTGTGAAAGGTACATTTTGATGCTTTTGATCATGTAACATAACAAGTTGTTATGTGATAAAAGCATATGGCTTGTGCTCGCTTCCAATGCGACACACCTTATTTCTCTTTGTCTTGAGAAATTCATATCATATTATATATTATCCTAATGCATGTGATATTTTTTATACTTTGTGCAGGTATTTCTGATTGCGCGTTGCATTTGCAACACACGTTTTCTTTTATCTTAGTTGGATATTATTTCTGATTTGTTTGTTTGTTGGTGAAGCTTGGTCGATGCGTACTCCCTGCTTCTCCATTAATTTCGTGTGATTTCGACGATTGGCTTGCTTGTGGTAGTTGTTGCTACTACCTTTGTATTTCTCCGCACTTTATCGGATTTCTTTACTGCTTTTCTAGAGATCATGAGAAGTAGGGCTTTACTGCTTTCTGATTCCATGAGAAGTAGGAATAGATATGTATGACAGGGGTCTCCATTGTTGATCATGTCAGGAACCCCTCTGGTTTATTTAAAGACCCATTTAGGGAAATTCCGCATTGTTTGCCATTGTGTGCTACTTGTGTGTGGTTTGTTTACAACCCTACCTTTGTGTAGGTATTTTGCAGGCATGTTTATATTTGTTCCCGCAATATTCCCCCATCCCTTATTGAAGTCCTCAAAATGAGACGAGCGAGGAGGGTTCACAATTAACTCCCGCAATTTCGTCTGTGTCATCCTTAGATCGTGACACACCATAATTCTTCGGAGTTATGCCTACTCTTGTTGTCGAGTCATCAAGTGGGGAAGGGTTCTGCAATCGAACCCCCACGCTTTTCCAGGAGTTCGCATTGGCTGATGTTGACACTCCGTGATCGTTTATATTATCTTCTGTCACCTACCTCGATCTCCTATATCTTGGTTAGGTGTTCAGTCACTTTGGACATCACATTTTTGTTTTTCAACTCACTCTCGCTTGTTTGTCTCGGGTGATACTCTCCACTTGGCTAAAGAATTTCACTTATTTTCCTTACTATTTTATGTGTGTGCTCCTTCGAGCTTGCTTGTTTTATCCTTGTACATACCATGTTCCTTAGGATGTGATTGCTCCTTTCGGATGCAAGTTAGACCTTATGTTGCAAATCATGCATGCTAACATTAGGTAGAGATTTCCCTTTCATATTTGATGTAGGGTTACCGTTGTATGATAACATTAGGTTTAGAAATAGACTAGTCCTCCATTGACTCTTTTCTTCCCTTTTTGCATCCTTGCATCTAAAACTAAAACCTCCTTTCTTAGAAAATCCTAAAACATGCTAATCTCACTTAAACCTTTTTCAAGGTAAAAAACACAAACCAATCAAATGTGGCATCTTTCCTTGAGGTAATAACTCAAAAACATTTTTCAATAAGGACATGATTAACTTACTTTTATTTCAACGCGTAAGTCTCCAAAGGTCGAGCTGCGACAGAAGGCAGAATTAACATTGTTCATAAAAAATACAAATAAACAAAAACATATGAGCCGAACTACGGTAACTCTGATTCCTCAAAAAGGATACGTAGGCATTGGGGTAGGGCCCAAGCGAGTACAACTTTATTTTCCCTACATTCTTTTCTCCTTTATTTTGCATGCATTCTTCCTTAATAGTAAATAGTAAGCATAGTTTAGACACACCCATAAGATAGATAACAAGAGTGGATACCGTAGAGTCCTATCGGCGTGCGTGGTGCTAGTACCTTCCTCTCGCGTAACAGACTCCTTTACCCGATCTCTCGGTCGCAAGACCGTGACTTCTCCCTTCTCAGGTTTTCTCAATGTTTACCTTTCCCTTCATGTGGTATAAAAGACGTTCAATGGCGACTTCACTGTTTGATGATTTTCAGCCGGTTGTTTCACTTGGTAGCAAGTTAATAAGCAATAACTCCTTTCTTTACAAAAATTACATAGTTATTTTGGCAGCATTTTAGAAACTTGAATAAGCATGAGTTTCTTCAAAGTTCTTCAACATTTCCAATTCTTCCAAGTCTTCCGTTTATAGATGAAAAGAAATCCTTTGGAGGGTAGAATATGAATACCAAAATTCCAGTTGTCTTCTTGCAACGGTCAGTGAGAGAGTGTTTGATAACCTAGTACGGAAGTATTGTCCTTGCACCATAAAACCAACTTAGTGGAGGCGAGGTTATGTTGTCCCTTGTACTGCAGCTCACGTGAAACTTTTTGATCTTCTCTTCTAATCTTAAAAAGCTTCTAGATGTATAATGGTTGAAGCATGTGTAGAAGGATCAAAGCTAAGTCTCCAGAACCATGTCATCAGAGTCTTCAGAACTTGTTCATCCTGAACCTTCTCTTCAGAGTCTTCAACACTTGGTCTTCAGAGTTTTCATAACCTTTTCTTCAGAGTCTTCAGAACTTCGTTCAATAGAACCTTGTCTTTAGAGTCTTCAGAATTTGGTTTAGAGAACCGTTGGTCTTCAGAATCTTCAGAACTTGTTCAACATAACCTTGCCTTTAGAATCATCAAAAGTTGTTCAACATAACCTTGTCTTTAGAATCTCCAGAACTTGGGCAAGATAACTTGGAATCCTTAGAGCTTTAGAATGTATCACAAGCTCTACAACAAAATCACAGTTAGAAGTAATAAAACTAATGTTCTTTCTGAACCATTTCTTTAAGATGCGTTCTAAGCCATGAAACATAAACTTGTATTCTTCAGTGTGTTCACTCCAGAATCTGATGACATCACACGCATTTCTTTAGAGACATAACCTGTTAGAAAAAGTTACACACTAAACAAACCATTAGGGTAATAAATTGTTATCTAATCACCCATGTAATGTTATCATCAAAACTCAAGGCCAGATGCAAAACTAAATCTTATTCTTACAAAATCCTCATGCTTGAGAGAATGAGAATTATTATGTTCTTCCTTAACCAATTCACTCTTATGGGTCTCGCGCTTGAGGGATTATGAACTGTTATATAAAGATTATGGATTATTATATCCTTCCTTAAACAATTAGTTTATGCTAGGATTGTGCTTTAGGAATCGTGGATTGTCATACTATGACTCAAGCCCACTAAGTATTAGTAGCCTTAACTCATTAGCCTCCCACTTCGTGAGACGCATACAGAAAGATAAAAAGATAGGCAATGTAAGACATGTGTTAGATAAAGGGGAGAGTTCAACATATCCTCTTATGTTATAAAAATGAGTCATCAAACACGTTTCTTAATCCATAAAGAACATCTCGTAATAATCATGTAGTCTAAAGCCTCACAAAAATAGGTAATCGCGTCTCCTTATACTAAAAGGATGAGTCACCAACATGCTCTCTAGAGCAAGGATTTCAAACTCGCGAGTCTACTCATACTAGTAATGGGTCCATATACTTGACTCTTAGACTCGTACAAGTCTATGGAAAATAAAAAATTATTTTCAAAAATTTATAGGTGACACATATATGACACACATTTTTATAAACCTATAAATTTCTCATATATGACACAAATATATATAATAGAATACCAACTAACATCAAAATTTAAATTTCACGCTCAATAATAAATTTCTTAACAAAAATTCTGATAATAAAACAGACAAATTAGCAAAGTACGTAGTTAAAGACTTAAAGTACTAATTCATTCTTAACTTGATACTACATATATTTTAAAAAAATCATAAAATAGATATGTTAATGGTTTCAAACATCTAAATCTTCAATTAAATTACCACCACCAATATCTTCACCATCATCTTCATTGGTATCTTGACTATAATCATCAAAATCTCCCCCATATGAAACACTTCTTCACCATTAACCAAAGTTGGATTTATTGAAGTTCCACTTCCACCTAATTCAACATTGTTACCATGTCCATTTTGCACAATATTAGTAACAATAACATCAACTTCCAGAACATTATAAAAAAAGACATAATCTTTCTCAACATTAACTTCACTTTACACATTTTCTTCCTTAGGATCTTCAGTTATCCATTCATGGTAGAAGGTGTGAAAACACAAGAAAGGGGGTTTGAATTGGGTTTTAAACCAAAAATTTTCTTTAAAAATATTCCCCTTTAATTAAAAATACTTTTCTCCACTCTTGATAATCACAATAATTAAGAACAGGAAGTAAAGAACAAGATATGTTTATACTAGTTCCCTTGAAAACTATTAAGCTAGTTTAGTCCACCCGCCAAGGTGATTTTGCCTTATCAAGGACTTAATC